CCAGCTGAAACCTTTACAGCCAAGACCCACCTTGCTATGTCTACAGGGTTGAATCAGCCTCATTCTCTACATATTCCTTTAGTAAGAAGGCTTATTTCACCCAGAAAACGTCTTCACAAGAACTGCACATGGCGTATTGTATGATGATTGTGTCTTAAGACTGATTGGGGTCCTCAGGCAGTGTTTCGTAACTCTTGCTAACTTATTAACATTTGTTCTTTCCTACCTAAATTTATATACATTACAAATTAAACTAAATACAACTTGACTATTAAAGGATAAAAATTTTTTATGGATTTTGACATCGTTCTAGGTTCTTTTTTTTCAGCCAAATCCGTGAATTTGTTTTGTTCATGCTAAGTCTTGAAAAAACACTATATAAAATTTGCTATTTTTTACCCATAATGTTGAATGTGGTAAAATTATTCAGTTTTAACAAGAAAAATCTCAAGTTGATGTTAAAATTTACCACAAAACATTATTGACTTATTTAAGATGGAATGATTATGACAGGTCTCTAATTTGTATTTATATATATTGTATTTATTTTCAATTTTTCTACTTTTGGAAATAGAGATTTAGTAGAGTAGTGGGGGGGTCTCCATATCACATATTTGGGGAAGGCACAAGACCCTTGCACCAGCCCTGCTAAATATAGTATACCTTAAAACTATATATATATATATATATATATATATTGTCATCCATAGACAGACTGTTTTGCAGGTCATCAGTGTGGCTAGACATCCGATTGCCTCAAGCCAGGATCAAAATCGACTGGTTTAGTATCAGTCAGAGATTCTACCTCTAAGCCATTGGTGCACAGCAGGGATGAAGGTGAATTTAGACATATTTATTTTTAGATAAACACACCAATGACTAGAGAACTTGATTCGTCTTAATGAAAGTCTTGCATCAGCAGCACTCTTTGAAAATGTCGAAGCATTCTTTTAAAGGAACATTTTTCATCCAACACTTCTTCAGTAAGATTTGTTGCAACAACAGTAATCAAAACAGTGAAACTGAAAATGGTAAATGTGGAGGTTGAATAATGAGCCATTACTAAAATGTTACTAAAACAACACTAAATTACTATATTACTAAATATATATATATTTAGGCAACATACACTGATATGTAAAGAAAATTCCTCTTCTAACAACCGAAACACACCCTGACAGTTTTTTAAAGATGAGAGTATTGTTCTTTTAAATGTTATGCTAGCCAAAGAAAGTAAATAATTCTTTCTCCTCTCTGAAAAAAAAATAAATGTGATTTTCTTTGAATGTTTTGAGTTGTACTGAAAAGCTACAAGAATTTATGCCTTGCTTGTAAATTAGCTTTAAATCATGGTTACACCCTTCACTGCTGTTACTACAACAACTTCAACTATTGGAACATTTTTATTATTATATATTTTTTTTCATCAAGCATCTTGTCTTTAATACAGCTATTTCTAAAGAGAAAATAAGTCATTTATGTTCGTCTGTATATAAGTGATTTAGATTGGCAGCCTGGGTAGTTGAATATCTTTGACACAAGCTTATCCAGAAAAGTCTTACCTGGTCTGAGAGAAGCTATTTTTACCTTCCATTAGCATGGCTGATGCTAACCTCCAGGAGAGTGACTCATTGTGTCTTCTCGAACTAATGTTTTCTGCTAACATCATGTGGAAAGATTATATTGAATCAGTTGTTAGGTCCGCTGCTGGTAAGGTTGGTTCCCTGTGTCATGCTAGACAATTTTTCTTGCCAGAATCTATCTTACACATTTATAAGTCTATGATAGTCCAAGACATGCAAATAATAATGCCAACTGATTTAAGATAGAGTGAAATATGAAGACACATCAGATTTCAGGAGAAGTAGTTATATCTTTTCATTTGTAAGAAAATACATGAGAAGGAGATTTTAAAAGCAAGATGAAAAATATTTAACTATTTTCTTACCTGACACTGCAGTTCAAAAACATCAGAACCAGGTGAAAATAAACAATGGGAAAATATATTTACCTGAAAAATAAAATAGAAATGAGAAAAATATGAAGCATACAGTGCATTAATTGTTCATCATTAAAGAAAAATAATCTATGGGCAAGGTCTCATTATTTTACACTTGAAATGGCTAGATGTAACCATAAGTTCTATGCTAACAGTTTCTTCTCTTGCACTTCTCGGTTGTGAAACTTCCGGCTTCTCACTTCCCAGTCAACTTTGATCTTCACAAATGTAAATGTAATGCCAACCATTATTTTCTGTCTTCTTAATTCATATTCTTTTATTGTTCTCTCTTGTTCCTTGATGTTACTTAGACTTTATGAATTTAAGCACAGTACTAGATTGGTGATAAAGTCTCATCATTTTACACTTGAACTGGCTAGAGTACAACCGTAAGTTCTATGCTAATAGTTTCTTCTATCACATTTCTCACTTGAGGAATTTGTTCCTGGCTTATTGCTTCCCAGTCAGTGATTCTCAAAAAATTTAAATACAATGTCAATTGTTATCTTCTGTCTTCTTAATTCCTGCTCTTTTATTGTTCTCTCTTGTCAGTAATGTTTTCTTTTTCTTATATTCTATAACACTCAGTAATTCTTGTGACAATGGCTTTATTGCCTTGCTTGGGGTGAAATGACAAAAAAAAAATGATCAAAGAACTTTATCCAACACTATTTACATTATTCAGATGACTGTCCTCATCTTTGTTGCCATATTTATCACAACATTTTGACTGTTGTACACTCTGGCCTTCTTCGGGTGGTTAGAATGTCGAACTGAACCCTTTATTTCGCTCGCTGAGGTAGACTGTTCTAGTTCCATCTGCCATGTCTAATGGATGCCAGTTATCAGTTATCTCCTGTTAATTCACCTCCCAAGTTCTCCCCTGCCTTAACCCCGTATTGAACTCACAACTCTTTGGGTCCTGTCACTTGATCTAACTAACACCTTTATCCACTGTGCCATGTGTCCTTAAGTCTACCCCAGTGAGTGAAATAAAAGGTTCAGTTCAACATTCCAACCACCTGAAGAAGGCTGAAGCACACAATGGCTGAAACATTGCAATCAATATGGCAACAAAGATGAGGAAAATAGTCTGAATAATGTAAATAGTGTACATAATAACTCATCTCAGAAATATAGACAGAAACTGTATCCAGTTATCTAGTTACTTATGTAATTTCTTTTTTTGGTGTGGGTCAAGAAAATTTTAATGACTACACCCACTTTCAAAATCTGTCAAAATGACCAACCACCAGATTTGAGTTTGAGTTGGTTTATTTGTTTAATGACATGTCAACACCCTTATGGATTATTTAATGTTGAAACCTGATTCACTTCTATCCACATCTTTTGAACAGGAGTAAAGGTTTAACCTTTGTAACCATAAGTTTTAAGCTAACAGTTTCTTTTCTTGCACTTCTTGCTTGTGAAACTGTCTTCCGGTTACTTGCCTTCTAGTCAGCTTTGATTTTCAAAAACTTCTTGTTTTTAAACAGTGTATATTATATCTACTAGCCTGTGCACTTAAGAAAACTTAATAAAGAAAATGTGCCCATTGGCTGTTTAAAAATGGGGCTACTCAAATATGGGTTTAAACTAAAAATAACATTTGAAATAATAAAAATGTTGGATTAAAAATAAAATATATGTAGAAATTTCAGATAGAGTATATCTGTAAAAGGACAATATGAATAAATACAAAAGGAAAACTTATCTTAGCTGACACATTTTGTTCTCTGAGGGACTTCATCAAGGCAAATTTACCTTGATGATATATATATATATATATATATATATATATATATATATATATATATATATATTAACATAAAACAATTGGTGGGAGCAGAAGAAGTAGATTCATACTCTTTCCAAGGATATTTACATGTAACTGAATATGATGAACCCAAGAAATACGTAAGTAAAAAACGTAGAAATTTAAATAAAAGGTTATATAAACACAAAAATGATATTTTTTGAAAGAATGAATTCAGTGCATTAGTAGTTCATTGTAATAAGTCCCACCATAATTTCAACATAAAGAATACAGAAAATAATTTATTAAGGTGGAAGTGTATTGAAAGTGTACTAATTTCTGAATCTCTCCATGGTAAATTTATGTCCAGGATCATGCAACATATCTCTATTCCTAACAATACTATTGTATATACAATGTAGGATATTTCAAAACAATAAGAAAGATAGCAGTTTAGAGATCTTGCTTGTTAACCATCACCCATCAGAATATTAACTAAACAATTGTGGCACAATTGTGGCATGTTTTTCAGAGTTATTTTTGAGGGATGGATCGGAACACTGATTGACTGACTGATTTGTTTTTTACAGCTTATCAACCTTTTGCAGGATATTTAAAGACATAAAAAAATTTTGGAGTGTAAAAGTGTTTTTGGAGAAAATGATTTATTCATACAAATCCTATGAATTAACCCACAGCTGGTGGGAGAAGAGGTGGATTCATTACTTTCCCAAGGTTATTTGTGCATAACTGAATATGATGAACCCAACTGGAATTGGAACTCAGAGAGCTGAGTTCCAATTCCAGGCCATTATTCACCATTACACCACCCACAGATCCAAGTTTACAACACCTGGTATTCCCAAGTGGTCATCCATCTAGATACTGACCAGGCTCATTGTTGCTTAAATTTATTGATTTCATGTGTTGTAACCTAGGGAAAGTTACTGAAAAGAATAATCACATGAAGGTTGGTCATGAATGATAATACTTAGGACAAGAACAACACATATAAGATTCGCCAGTGCTGTGTAGAAGAAGTAGTCAACTGCTAGAAGTGAGTTGTGAATTCTACAATGAATCCCAAACTGCAGACCAACATACAGTATTTACTAGTGTATTTATGCGTATAGGGGACATACCCATTATTGTCTGAAGGTATGCTACAACATTATGAGAACTGGTGTTTCAAAGTGTTATGGCCATAAGCTTTGAAGATAGATAGGTAGAGAGATATGAACAGACTGAGATAGATAGATAGATAGATAGATAGATAGATAGATAGATAGATAGATAGATAGAAATAGACTGATATAGATAGAGAGATATGACTGGATAGCTAGCTAGCTAGATAAGAACAGACTGAGATAGATAGACAGATATATAGAGAGAGATATGAGTAGATAGATAGATAAGAAAAGACTGAGATAGATAGGTAGATAAATAGATAGATAAAAAAGACAGATAGATTTAAACAGACTAAGATAAACATAAATTCAATTTATATATAAACTAAAAAAATTAAAATGATTAATAAATTCTTGATAATGACAACAGAATAATTTTGTGGGAATCATTGTGCCAGTTGAGTTGTGATTCTGAAGAGCTATCTGAGAATATGAGAAGATTGCCATTATTTGTTCTGATGAAAACATGTGTTGGAATGTATTTATGACTTAAAAAGTAATTTTCATGTATCAGAACCTTTTGCAAGGGAGTAATAACCATTGGTGAGGGTTATAATTTCATCTGTAGTCAGCATTTTTCTGTTCATGGAATAACTGAAGCATAGTCAGAAAAGCTCATTAGATATGACAGCAAGCGATTTGGCAAACCATCCAAAACTCCATCAGACTCAGATAAAAGAAAAAAATTATGAAAAATAAAATAAAAAAAAATAAAATGAATTCCTCAAATTTTATAAACTCTGACATTTATTCAGGAAGAACATAACTGCCAATTACAATTACTTAACTCCTTTTTTGCTGAGAAATTTTTCTTTTTTCGTTTTTTACTTGTTTTCGTTTTCTTGATTGACAATTTCAAGCATGAAGTTGGCTCAGCTTTCTAGAAGTGAGAAGAGGGTGAGGCAAGAGTTGTTTCGGGAGACTGATTCAGGGAGTTGTTTCTGTTTAGTCTCTTTTGCCTTCCCCTCAAAAGAAATGAGCCAGATCACAAACACTGCCAGGGTCGAGGTGAGAGCAGACTGTTGTCACGGAGATTTTATCTGAGGTCTATCATCTTCAAACTGATGCAGAAGTCACAAAAATGGATGAACTCTGAAGAGACCTATGCCAAATTTGAACGAAAAGTAATTTTAAAAACATTAAAAAAATTCAAAAGAGTGTCCCACCGGGGAACAATGGTTAGCAGGCTTGAGTGAGTTTGACTTTCACTGTATGCTCCACATTTGTGACATTGTGCCAGAAAAACCTAAATGTAGTAAATATCTTAAATCTCACAATGGAGCATGGTTAGCAAGAACATTATTAACAGAATATTATTACTATAATGCATTCAATCTCAACTTTGTTATCCAGAATTGTGGCCTTGTACCAGACTAAGTTACACTTAGTAATTAACTGGGTGCATATTATACAGTAGAAACTCTGTTTCAAATGGAAACACAGGCAAAAGGACTCTTGATGAAGTGGGAGTAGAATTGGAAGAGAATTTGCAGGCAAAGCATTCTGCTGTATTGGTAGATGATAACACAGCAAATTGAGTGAAAAGGGGAGGGATAAAAGACTTACAGTTATTTAATACATTCTTAAATATCTGCCAATAGTCATGGGAATCAAACTTGTGAGAGTCTCTACAGTGCCTCACCCTATCAATGAACAATGATTTATCCACTTTGAGAACACGCTTACACTTATTAGGAGCAGATACAAAGTCTGTTCTGGTCAGAGCTATCACACTGGTATAGCTGGAAAAAGTGATTCTCATTGGCTATAGCAGCTGAGCACAAAAAGATTGTGGTTTCATCTGGTATTTACAAGAAGGCCCAAGTAGACAGGCGTACTTAGATATGAGAGGCCAGGCATTACTTACTACAAGAAGACATAAAAGGCTTGATAGTAGCTTAAAACCCACACATATACATAAAAGTGAATACTTTTTAACAAATCTGTGTATGATTTTGTACCTATGCAAAGATACATATATCTTTTTCTTAAATGCAAACTAACCTTTGAATTATCCCTACCAATTACAAATTGGTATATATATATATATATATATATATATATATATATATATATATATATATATATATATATATATATATATATATAGAGAGAGAGAGAGAAATAGAAATGTATATTTAAATCAGCACAAAACATCATTTTTTTTCTGGATTTTATTTATATAAAGATGTGAGTATTTTTTTAAAACACATGCACGCACATACACATATATGTATATATATATATATATATATATATATATGTAAGCAAATATATGGATATAGATCCGACAGTATGAAGAAAAATATATACGGAAAAAACAAACAAAAATCCTTATATACAATTATGCTGTTTTAATGTTAACATTAAAACAGCATAATTGTATATAAGGATTTTTGTTTGTTTTTTCCGTATATATTTTTCTTCATATATATATATATATATGTATACACAATGTATATTGTCTGACAAGTGCGTTTAGCATGAAACAGACTCTTGCCTCTGGGTATTGACTTCAATATCTACATTTATATATATATGTGTGTGTGTATTCAATGTATGTCCAAAGCTATTTATATACTAAAATACAGTAATTTCACTAAAATGACACACATACATACATACATACATACATACATACATACATACATACATATATATATATATATATATATATATATATTTATATATTTATATAAAAGACGATTTGGAATTTGCTTTTTTTAAATTAATGTCTTTTAATGTAACATATTAAATTTTTACCTCTGAAAAAATTTGACTTGGAAAATAAATCTTCAATTGTATTATTTATTTATTTTCTCTACATATAAGCATTCATTGAATATAACTCATCAGAACACATGGCATGGAAACAGTAACAGTGTAGAAAGAAGCTGATGTTTCTTCTGTAAATCCCATAAAAAAGGCGAGTTCAAACAAAACCTCTGCCAAATAACAGATAAAATTATGAAGATTTGTTGACTTATTACAAATCAGTGATAAAATCCAAAGAAGAATCTGCAATGTTATTGGTCCTCACCTGGCATCTTGGCTTCAATCACTTTCCCATCTCTGTAACATAGCTTTCTTATGACTTTTCTCTAAACACTTTAATGGTAATGCTTCTGTCTTCTTAATTATTGTTTTGCTTTTGTTTTTCTTTTGCTTATATTCTTTCACATTCAGTAACCTTTTTCATCTTAGGGACTTTATTGCCTTTCTTGGGGTGAAATGATTAACAAAAAAAGAATTTTGAAATTTATTATGATATTTGGGCATTTCATCAAGTTTTGGAAAGTGGGTTACCTTGATAACTTTTACACAAATTCTTATATGTATCTGTGTGTCTATGATTTACATATATTTTACATATATATATATTAAAAATATATTCACTCAGGAGCACTTATACACACTATAGACACACACACACACACATATATATATATGATAAGATTAAGAGCAAATAAGAAGCATTTATCAATTTATGTTTCCCTTTTATTAAAGCTTAATTCAAGATTGAGATATGGAGAAAAAGAAGAAAGAAATTCTGGTATTTTTGCATTTCTGTTACCTCATTCCCTGATGAAGCTTTAATAAAAGGGAAACATGTTAGATTGATAAATGTTCCCTATTTGTTATCTTTTCATTCTGTCAGATTCTGATTCATATTTGATCTGCATTTGATCCCAATTCATATATAAATATGTATGTATGAGCATAGAGTGTATATATATATATATATATATATATATATATATATATATATATATATATATATACACACACACACACATATATACATACATATATATATATAATAATAAGAAGAAGTAAAAAGGTTTGTCACTTAGCTAATTGATCCTACCTTCGTCATCTTGGGTCTAGATTTTTGTAGATGGACCCATCCATCCACTCATCAGGAGTTATCAGCAATTGGCTGCTTATACTGGATTTTCTTTTTTTATATGCACTTATTACTGGTGCAAGTTTTTTTTCATAGTGTGTGTGTGTGCATGCACCCATGTGCATGGAGTTGATTATATATATATATATATATATATATATATATATATATATATCTTACTTATTATAAAACGCAAATTGTGTGTGTGTGTGTGTGTGTGTGTCTGTACGTTTATATATTGGATCGGATTTCCTACATTTTTCAACTGATTTCAACAAAACTTCACAGGACTACATAAAATTACCTTGCCGTGGTTCTGACAGTGCTAAAAGTTGGAAAAACACAATTGTTTTTGCACAAAATCAATTTGAAAACACGATTAAGAGGCATTAATGAAAGGGGGACAACTCATATCGAGTTATACTTATTAATATCGAGTTATCGAGTTATACTTATTATAAAACCCAAGTTGGTTGTTTGTGTGTGTGTGTGTGTGTGTGTGTTCGTTTATATATGGGATAGGATTTCCTACATTTTTCAACCGATTTCAACAAAACTTCACTTTTTTTGGCAGGTAGTGTTTCTTATTGTCTTGCACACTTTTTTCTTTATTTTTACATTCAGAATGCTTTAAAAATTCCATTTACAAGACAATTGTTTATAATAAAATTCTATTCAATCGGTAGACTCATAACGATTGAAAACAATGTTTTTGTTTGAGTTTGGGTTTGAACAATTCGTAAAAAAAAAAATAATTAAGACATGCGTGTCCATCAACCTTAAACAATAATCTTTGTCAATTTTATTTTTCAGTCTTTATGATGGTCGATACTTGATTTATCTCTTCCTGTTACATCCCCGGCAACGCCGGTTCTACTGCTAGTATATATATATATATATATATATATACACCTTACATACACACACACACACATATATATATATATATATATATATATATATATATATATATATATATATATATATATACACACACAAACATATATTTATATATTAAAATACTTCTGATCAGAAATGTATATGATGTACACACACACACACACACACACACACACACACACACACACACACACACACACACATTTATATATTAAAAATACTTCTGATCAGTAATGTATATGATGTGCACACACACACACATATATATATATATATATATATATATATGTACACCTTACACACACTCACATATATATGTACACATTACACACACTCATATATATATATATATATATATATATATATATATATATTAGCAGGATACATTAAACATGTACAATATATGCATATTGCTATATTGACATGCATGACTTCTGACATCCTTTTAATTTCAAAGATGACTGCTCCATCACTTTGCATCTTTTTCAAAACTGATGTTTCAATCAACACTTGTCTGCCAAACAACTTACTTTCTCTTCTCTGACCCATTGGTCCTCAAAATGAATTGCTGCAGAATTCCCTGGTCCATTATAGTTCAGTCAAACTAGGACATGCCTACTGAGCACCCATCTATGCTATTTGTTGATGCATTTGCAAGTAATTTGGGCTTGGTTGGCATTCACTGTTTCTCAGCTAGGATGACTTGCTGATAATCAATATTTCAACAATAAACAGCTAAGTGGAGCTGATTTTGTTGAATATTTCAAAGTTTATTTATATCATCATCAGAATAAATATAAATTTCTTTCTCTATTGGTAAAAATACAATGCCAATTTTCTCAGATTGTTGGTTCTAAAGACTTGCTAGATTACCAAATCTGTTGTCTCCAGAGAGTCAAGTAAAATCTATTTGATATTTGCACTATTGTCCTTGCCTTTGTTGTAGTTGTCATATTTCAGCCATTGTGCACTCTGGTCTTCCTCAGATGTATATCAATCTTTTTTTTAATCAAATTTACCCCAAACAAAGCAATAATGACACTAAGACATACTGTGTGTGAAACAGAAAACAGAAACATTATTAAGGAGTGATAACAATAGAAAAGTAATAATGAAGATAATGGTTGACATAGCACTTAAAGTTTTGAAAGTTGGCTGGAGCAAGGAGCCAGAAGAAAGTTCCACAAGTGAGAAGTGTGAGAAAAGAAACTGTTAGAATAGAACATACAATTACTTTTAGCTAATTCAACTGTAATTTGAGGAGACCTACTTGTATTATTTACATTATTTAGACTGTTAGCCTCATCTTGATTGCCATATTCACAACATTTCAGCTGTTGTATGCTCCAGCCTCATCTCAGAGATATAGACAGATATTGAAGAGACCTAGTAGCCAATCTAGTGCAGCATTTAAATTTGTAAAATCTAGGTGCCATAGCAGAGAATTCATTCAAATAATTACCATGAAAGCATTTATAGAAAAGGAACAATGAAGCAACATTACAGCCGTGGGAAAGTAATTCGAGCTGAGATGCCAGGTCAGAACCAATAATATTGTTGATTCTTCTTTGGATTTTATCAAGACCCTCTAATCTATCTCTCTATTTATCTATCTATCTTATTGCAGTTTACCTCCTCATGGCTTTGCTAGACTTGCCAAGACATTGTTAAATGGCACTGTTAAACAGCAATAAAAAAAGGACCAATAATATTGTTGATTCTTCTTTGGATTTTATCAAGAATTTGAATTCAAAACCACTTTGAGCATGGGGCTAGCAACTCCATTCCATAAAAACCCACTTGCTGCAGAAATGATGTCTTCAACGACTAGTGTAGTGAGGCTATGGTTCAATACTCTTCAGTAGAGTCTATGGAACTTTACTGAATAAATGAGTATTATTTTGTGGCAGTATATTACTAAACATATACATTATAAATTATTGTACTATAGAAATAAATTGAAAAGAAAGAAGACCTTGCCATTGGTAAGGAATTAATGTAAAGATTAGTCAAAATGGAATCATTATCATATAATAATTGTGCTTGTCCTACCCTTCATTAGTTTGCACGACCATTATGTCCTGCCAGTACCTCATAAATAATAAACTATTCTGCTTTGATCATGTGAAAAGAGGTGAGATAGAAGTTTTTAATGTCTTCTGTTAATACCTCAGACATTTTGATTGCTTGAGAAGATAAAAGCTATCAAAGACACTATTTGGTTTCAGCCAGAAAATGAAAGAAAAAAGGGAAGATAAAAGTATTTAATGTCTCCTGCTAATACTTCATAAATAATGAACTATTCTGTTTTGATTGCATGGAAAACCATAACATATCTCAGAGATGCTACTTGGTTTCAGTGAGAAAATGAATGAAAGAAAGAAAGGGAAGAAAAAAGGGTTTAAGAGCTGTTTAAGTGAAATGGAAAAACATGTAAATTTCAAATCTTTTCATTTGTATCCACTTACTTCTTAAAATAACAACCAGCATTCATATTTATGATTGTTACATTTTGTTAAAATTGTTAAGCTCAAATATTTAACAATGCGATAGGGGAATTTCTATGGATATTTTATTGTCATACAACTTGCTATGAGCTTATTCAATCCTTAACTTAAAAATTAAGATTCATCAGAAAATTCAAATTGGCAAATCATGAAATTTTCATTGGTCTTTTTAGTATTAATAATTCAATGTCCAAATAGTTAAGTATTTAATAAAACTTTTTCACTAATAAAAATAATTTGTAAATCATCAGAATTTTTTTTTAACTCCTCTTGAATTACAAAGAATAAAGATAATAAAACCAATTGCTTTTCAATTAATTACCCTGGAATAAAAAATAAAACATACAGCATTTCCTAATTTCTAATAATCAAAATACTTGAACTATAACACCACAGTCCTTTTCTCATTTGAATGCAGACCTCTTCTAGATTCATTTTACGCATGAGGTTTGGAAGTATGTAGAAGTCATAGAACATGTTTTTTCTTTTTAAGGGGGGAAAATGTTGGGACTTTACAAAACATGTTTGTGCTTTGATGTCTTTTAGAAAAATACCACATGGCCCTCATTTTTTTTTTTTTGCAACAAAGAAGAAAATTGTTTCAAAGGAAAGGAAAGGAAAAAAATTGTGGAATTGATATTTTTAATAACATCTTTCTGGTTGACAAAATGTTGGGTTTTTCTTATTTCCAAGTTGAAAATAGAACCAATTCTTTGCTATGAAAAAAAAAAAGAAAGCTTGTTAAAGTTGTTTTATATGCTTATTGCTTTGCTTTTTGGGTCTATACAATCCCTCTCAATCAACTGCACATATATATATATATATATATATATATATATATATATATATATATATATATATATATATATGTACACACATACATACAAGTGTAAAAACAATATACCTTATCAAAATTATTTAAATTCATAGGTCCTAAAACCAATAGAAGTATTTTATATCTCACAAGCGACAATAGTGTTTTTTGACTTGCATTTGTAGCACTTTTTAATCCAAAGCATTACTGACTAACATTTATAGTGCTTTTCAATCCAAAACATTATTGACTAGCAATTATAGTGCTTTTCAGTCCAAAACATTATTGACTAGAAATTATAGTGCTTTTCAGTCCAATGCATTTCTGACTATTTATTGTGCTTTTCAGCTCAAAGTATTACTGACAGACATTTATACTGCTTATCATTCCAAAGCCTTACTGACTGACATTTATAGTCCTTTTCAGTCCAAATCATTCTTGACTATCATCTACAGTGCTTTTCAGTCCAAAGCACAACTAACTAGCCTTTATAGTATTTTTCAGTCCAAAGTGCTACTAACTAGCATTTATAGTATTTTTCAGTCCAAAGCATTAGCAACATTTATAGTGCTTTTCAGTTTGATTCATTACTGATTAGCATCTATAGCACATTTTAGTCCATGTGAACATTTGCCATGGAAATAGCTGCTTGTAAATTTCAATCCCAGCCAACTGTTACAAAGGGCTGCAAATTAACATTTTAATATGGACCTGTATCAGAAGAGACAACAGTGACATGCAGAGGTTTGGTGATGCCTGAAACCAACTCCTTGATTGCATGCTCCTAAGACTCATGTAGGAGGGTCTTTTGGTCCTATACTGAGAAATGTGAGAAGGGAGGAAATTTTAAATATGAAAAAAACAAACAAACAAATTAAATAAACACTTTATTCAATTTAAATATAAACTACATTTATTATTCACTCTTTGATTGGATGCCCTCTGGATATGGATGTCTGGGGCTGTCACACCATCTGCCCCGACTTCTGGACATTACTGAGAGAAAGTATATGACATTCCCACAGATGTTTTGTTTTGCAGATGAGAAAGGTTTATATTTCTTATAGGCAATACTGGACAATGTTCAAAGATGCTTGAGTTGTCCCCCCTCTGAGGTGTGAAACAAAAATGCATCATTCAGTGGATAATCTTACACCATCTTGCTTTTGCCTCCACTAACATACTTATTCTTATACCAAAAGTGATTTTCTTTGAAGTAGAGTTTTATTTGGTATGTCAAAAGCTATTTTCAGAGTTTAAAGGAAAGCCTGAAACCATTTTATTAACAATGGAATGGAATTAGCATCGGCATGGTGAAAGAAACCATATATCATTTGAAGAAGCAGTTGCCTGTCAATGATGGTGACAGATGAGTTAGAGATTGGGGAGTAATGGAGAGCTGAGGGAATCGCAGATCTGACAGGATTAAAGTATTTTGGCAGAAGTGGTTGGGAAAAAATCCCTCATTTTTAGATCAACAAAATATCTATATATTTTAATGACTGCATGCACAAAATATAAGACATTTTATTTTTTATCCAAGAAAATATAGGTACACCTATATGTAGAATGATTTTTATTTTCTATAAACATCTGTATGTAAGTGTTTTTTCATGTGCATGAACAATTACTTTCACTCAGATATATATGCAAATATATATATATATATATATATATATGAGCCTTTGACCCTGGGTATGTATATCAGTTTGTGACCCTGAATATATTAACTCTATCACTGATATTGAACACATTCCACTAAGTACTGTGCATATAAAATAAAATTAAATCAAGGAAATGAACTGATTTTCAATTGTAGACATAAGAACAAATTTAAAATCCCCTAAGCATTTATTATATTTTTGTGGGTGGGTATGCACACTTGAAGTGTTGGTTCATTTATATGGGTAATAGCACATATGGGTCTACATTTATGTATATGTATGTAGGTATGTGTATATGTGTAGGTGTGAATGTGGGTTGATATTGTATATCACACGACTATGTTTTTTGCATGTTTCTTCATATGTAGTTGGATCTATGATCTGATGTATACAACACCTATATTTCTAAATTAACATCTTTTGTATCATTAACCATACATCATCTTACTATATTTATTTTTAAATTTCTAAATTTATTTGTTTTATTTAACTGTATTTAAAATCCTTTCATTTATATTTGATATTATTATCATTATAGTAATTTCTATTTATTATTTGTATTAAGGACCCTTTAATTAAACCAACTAATTTGTAATTGGGTTAG